GGGCAATAGCAAGGATTTTGGCTGACAAAACTTAGAATTTTGCTTCTTACATCAATCTGGATATCATGAATAACTGCACCCTCTGACTTGAAAACCTACTGGTGAAACCTCCTATTCCTCTCCATCCACACATGGTAGAATCTTCTTACCCAGCCAATGCATTAGGTTTTGCCAAGAATTAGTAAAAGGTATACCAGTTATAGAACAAACCTACTGCCATATATTACTGGTAAAATTGCACTTAAAAAACAAGTGTTCATTTGTCTCTGAACTACTATTGCACAAGATGCAAGTTTCAGCAATTGTAGGCGTCCATTGCTTTTGCCTAGCTCTTCTGGTTACCCGGTTGAGAATGGCTAGCCAACTAATAAAGCTATGTTTAGGAATAGCTAGGTGTTGGAAGTATGTAAATGTTTCAAATAAAAATTGGCGAATTGATTTGCACACATTGACACAAAAAGTACAGATCCTTGAAAATTTGTAAATGGTTCATTTTCAGTACCAGAATGGCTATCCCATAAGTAAATTCCGAACTTGAGCTACAGATCAAAGTCACTCAATAAATTTATTCATTCTCAGATCTAAACCATGTTGTCTATAAAACCAGAACTACTTGCAAAGAAGAAAATTAGCTCATGGCTCAAAGGTCATGTTTTCGGCCTCTTTCCTGACCGATTCAAAGAGCACTGACGACAGATACCTTTCTCCAAAGCTTGGGAAAATCACCTGCAGATATTCATGAATGGAACTGATTTTAGTGTGATGTAAATTTTGAATAAATGAATGAAAGATACCCCATGCTCTTCTTGATACAAAAACTCCACAGGTATAGATATGTATTATCCCATTGATTATTGCTTCAAATGGATCCTATTCTATTATCCTCCATATCGCTCAATCAATCTAATCAATCACTCCAACTTAAAAAACACTTCAAATTAGAAGTAACGTGCTCATGGTTTTTAGATAAGGCAAACAAGGTTAATTTTCAAGGTTAGTTAGACAAGGGCCCTCCCTCCTAACAATGTATATAAGGCAAGCAAGGATGATTTCCAAGGTTATGCTCATGCTCATGGTTCAAATTTGGCTATATAATATGCTCATGGTAGGTAAGGCAAGAATATTCAAGATAAGAACAAACACCTTAGCCTTCAAATGGATTCAAAAACTGGTCCAATAGAAAGTTTCGTAAATCAAGAGCCGAGAAATAAAACTTACAACAATAAGTTTTCCAGCATTTTCAGGTCTCTTGGCAATTTTAATAGCAGCTGCTGCAGCAGCACCAGATGATATTCCCACCTGCAAAAGAAGCTTCTAAAGTCAGCATGACAGGAGGGCAGAGTACGATTGGATGACAGAAATTCAAATAAAATAGCAAAAGAGTATAGGTTTTAAATTCCAATCTCAGAGATTTGCAAGGTTGGGAACATACAAGGAAGCCTTCCTTCAGTGCAAGAAGCTTTGCAGTTTCAATTGCTATCACTTGATATCTGCAAATTTAAAGAACTGGCAATTAAAAAAATAGGGAAATTTTGAGGCCATTACAATTTTATTAAAACTTTGTAAAATTAGCAAAACACTAAAATAACCGGCTAATCATTTTAATATTATACCATCATACCAATGAAGAAGACTTGTTCAGATAACAACAAAACAAAGTTAATCCAGAATTGGCTTTTAAAAGCATTGCGATAAATTAAATACACTTTGTCCTTACCTGAACAACTTCATCAATAAGACTGACTTCCAAAACACCAGGGATAAAACCAGCACAAATTCCTTGGATCTTATGTGGACCTTCACATTAATACAATAGAATTGATTTAGTAATTTTGCAAACCAAAAGATTCTTAAACTCATAACAAATAAATAAATAGAGACAAGGAGACCAGAGCGAATGTCATTAAAGGAATATATTAGATCATGGAAATCAAGGCATTATTGAAAATAATGGCACAGTGTAAAAGGAACCTATATGCTTAAGAAGGCTGATTATAAAGGAATTATTCCCGATTGACTGAGTAATCAACTGCAAAGGTTTGATAATGTTGGAGAAAAAACGCTTAGATCGGCATATGCAAATAAAAAAACACAAAATTTTAAAGCAAAGTCAAGAAGGACTGTGCTCTACATAATAATGAAAATAATTTGGCAAAACAAGATCTTGCTTTAAGGAAACAAGATGCATGCACAGTGAAAAATATGTCTTCAGGAACCTGTGGCAAAAACCAGGATGAGCACATCATCCATGGCCATGTAAAGATTACAGCTTAAACTCACCAGGCTTGCCTCCAGAGAGAACAGGACTTTCAACTGGTTCCACTCCATATAGCTACCAT